CTTTTTGTTTGCGGAGTTGTTGACGCTATCTTTTTCGCTTTTCGTCATACCAGGCATGACTAATCAAATTTGCATTTTCTAAGATACAGCTTTAGGATGGGTTCCCTATGCTCTTTTATTCTGGTCTTTAGATGATATATGTTATTATAGAGACACTTTGAGTGTTGCAATCGTCGGGCTATCTTCAGTTGAAATTTTTTTTTCCATTTTGTTAACGTTTAAGTCAACCGCTTTCAAGATTTGTTTCCTCTGGCAGGGGAAGTGCAGAATGAAGGTTCCTCCACATAGAGATTTGTGAAGTTTCTGTGCGAAGTTGTTTTCAAAATTGCCAACTATTATACTTGGGGAAAAGTAGGAATTGAAGAAGCAGTCTATGTGTAGACCTCATATCAGTGCATAAATGAGTGAACATATTGGAGATTTCGGTAAGTGACCAGGAGGCAGTTAACAACTTTAATATAAGAAACGAGTGTAAGTTTTCGGGGAAAAAAAATTTAAGTTTTTGGGTATGAAAAACTGCATCATTTGCAACAAGTTTGTCTTATGTACAGTTATTGTTCACAGTATATGTATTACGGGTAGCTGAAGGCCTTTGTATTTGTCGCTTGCGTAGGTATCTGGCAAAGCTGAAGTCGCTTTTAGGGAAGAAGACATTAGGAATTCGGACAGTTGATTTTTCATTTTATCTTTTTTTTTCGGTTCTTTTTTTACGTGCTTTATTCGTGCTTATTTACAATCGGTTAGGAAAGTGGAGTTTGAATGTATATGAATTGGTAGAGAAGCTGTTTTTATACCGCGTAATTGTTATTGGATCTGATAAGTTAAGGTTTTCAGGTACTTCTGTAATTGAGGATTTGGGGGTGAAAGTTGATTGATTTTTACTGTCATGAGAAGAGTTAATTTCAGTGAGGCTCTGATGGTAAACTTGACAGTGATTGTGTTTTTGGCGGTGTTAATTCATTCTTATTGGCTTTGGACCTGTAATGTTTGACGAAGTTTCGTTTCTGCTTACCACTTTGTAGGTTTATACAATTTTGATATCATTTTTCTCAAGTTCGCTAAGATGGGTGGAAGAGACAGGAGAGGAAGAGGTCGAGGGATTCTGGAAAGAACTACCGTGGATTTTAAGCCAGCAGTTTTTGGAGGTCAGTAAACAAAATGTTCAGTGTGCAGTCGAACGGAATTTTCAAAGTGCTGACTTGGTTCCGCATTTTATTTCTGTCGTTTGGGTATATACCACAGCTGTAGGCTGTTCGTTTTTTCTTTTAATTTGTTACGCGTGAGGGATATGAAAATTTGGAAATTTTTCTGAAATAATGCAGTAGGTTTTCTTTGGTACACCTTAATTCTTTTGAGAGGATTTCATGTAATTTTGTGGGTTAGATTTATTCTTAGAATTGGCCGTAGCTCTTTGAAATGAAAAGTAAAACGAAGTAGGCCAGAAATTGGAGATGATCAATTGGGGGGAAAAGAGTATGTAGTGGTAATTGGTGAAAACTAAGTTTTTAAGGCGTCTAGAGGGCTCGTAGGGGTGCTTAAAAACGAAAATGGGCATTCCTGTTTTTACCGTTGATTTTAGATTGTTTCCGACGATATCTGGCTCACTGACATTGTGACCAGTGACTGTAGCAACTTTAAGTGAAGTGCCAAAAAAAGATTGAGTGCCAAAAAAAGATTCATTTATTAAAGTTACGGACGAGTTACATCTCACTATGGCTTGAACGGCTAGCGGTCATGAAGACTTAGAGGCTTTGCTGTAATACATACCAGATTTAATAGACATACACTCAGTGTCAAAATTTTTTCGAATAATTGTTGGATATGATTAAAGATTGAAACCGTCGGAGAGGTTGTAGAGCGGAGTGATTATATCTTAAGCTGGGTTTCAAAGGCGTTTTATTAGGGCACTGGAAAATATAAAAGAGAAAAGAAGATTTCGGTTTGAATGGTGAGACTTGCTGAGATTCACGTTCGTTTTTCAACGTAGGATAGTCGTCTTTTGAAGGTTATTCAGTCATTTTGACACAACTGTGCACAAAAAAGTAATGAATTCTTTCTTTTTGATTTGTCTAAAGTATGTTTGGTTTGTTTGCTGTGTACGTAGTTATTTCTGCGTGTTGGTTTCCTACCGTTTCTGAGGTGATTCTGGCTGCTGTTAATTTGAGTTATCCTGTAGCAGTAGTTTTTTTCTTGTTGTTTCTGATCATTTTAGCTTCTATAGGTAGCGTAATTGATTAGTTGGTAAATGAGCTTACTTAAAACCACTAAGGACGTTTGTAGGTTTTGAGGCTTTGTTATTCTAATTTTTGAGTAGTTACAACGAAGGGGTGTCAGAAACAAAGATGAGGATTTGTTATTTTATTTGTTTTTAAAATAAAGTTCAGTTTAAGCAATATTTTTTTGGTTAAAATTTCATTGAGGCCTTAATTGTGTTACTGGGAATATTATATGATAAGGTTAAAAGCAGATACATTTTTAGTTGTTCCGCTCGTTTTTGTTCTCGAAACTTTCTTTATTGCAGGTTTTGGCTTGAATGGTCTGGATGAATCGTTTGAAACGAAGGTTTGTCTTCACCAAAATACTGTTTTTATTTCGTGAAGGGCTTTACCAAGTTGGGGAATATGAGATGTCCGATTGAAATAAAAATATCAAAAATTTGCGTCTTTGTTCAGAACCATTCTATTATTGTATTTCTGTTTATTTGAGTTCTTCAGGCATCAGAGATTTAGGTGTTAATTCAGGCTTCTGAATTTTAAGTGGTTTAAAAGGTATGGGGCATATCATTCAAAGTGAAGAACAAATTTACTGAGGAGGATTGTGCTGACGGCTTTTTCGTTTGGTATAAGCTAATGATGGTTTAATGATCGGTAGCTAAGTAGGGTATAATGTTCTAAGTTTTTGAAATTAAGCGGCGTTAAGCTTATGATGCTCTCTCATAACAAGAAACAAGTATTTTATTTGACCAATGTTAATCGTCTTCGTACTTTTCAGCTCTAAATTTTACTTTGACTGCAAAGCTGCCTACTAGGAATTTGTTTTGTTATGGGGCAAGTAGAAATTGCAAGAAGTTTAATGTTCTGTAATGTTCTAACTATGAGTAAATGCGGCGAAAGTTTTAGTGCATCACATCTTGTAGTCGGTTTCCGAATGAAGCACTTGTGAAAAACGTTTCTACAGACATAGAGATTTCATTTTTTACCGTAACCGGGGATAACCGCTGCGAATGGCAATCATTTGTGCTAAAAGAGGAATGCATCGATGGCTAGGAAGTGCATTGGCGTTGTAAACGATACATGGAGTTTTATTGTACAGCAAAATTTTAAATTAAGGAAGATTTTAAATTAAGGAAGATTTTTGAGAAAGGAACAGGCGCATTTGAGACATTTCATACAGTTCCGTACAGTGTTAAAGTGACTTTAAATTTGGTACTGATAGCATGTGCTTTCTAATGAAAATCCGGAGCTTACATCACCATGAGTTTTCAGCTTACACTGAAGGATCCTCCAATAGAGTATAAGCATTTACGAAATGCATCCAAGTGCGTGCTACCGGCAGATAGTCCAATTGATTTTTCCTTTTCACAGGGGTGTGCAGTGTTAACGGATTCTTCTCATTCAGTGTAGGTTTTTTTAAACGTTTTTATTTCTAAAGAAGGCAAACCTATCTCATTTTATTCCTAAGTTCTTTCTTTTGATTCTTGAAAAGAAAAGATTCTGTGGTTGGGAGGAGATCGATGCAGCCTTCAACTGCGTTGGTAAGGCTTACTTATGAAGGACTGAACACTGCTCTTGGATTTCAACGCATTTTTTATTTTAGTCTTTTATTGCTCGTGCTAGTTCACTTAATCAGTGTTTGACTCTCATATCGTCTCATGGCTATTTTCGTGAGCGGAGTGCAAGCAGTTTCTGATTTGTTTGAGCCCAGGATGATTTCAAGCTGGATTTTGTTCTAATGACCTCGATGAGCGTTAGTTTGGAAGTGTGGTAGGACGTCAGTGCAAGCATTAGGGTGAAAACTGTAATCGAAGATTTTGAAAACAGGAGTTCAGTTGCGCAGGATCAAATTACTTAGGCAAGTGTGCAGCGAGTAACGAGATAAATAGGTCGATTGTTTTTAGGACCTAGTGCAATTTTTTTTTCGTTTTTAGATTTCAGTACTAGAGCTACGAAAATTATTGGTTGGTTGTGGGCTACATGATTTTGAAACTCGGATGGACAGAAAAATATTTTTTTCAACAGTTGTAGAACAAGGGGAGCGATGAATGCTAAATTAAGAAATTATGTAGGTCTAACTTGTGTAGAACAAAAAACAAGGTTTGCGTTGTAGTGCTAGGGTGGGTTTCAGCTTGGTTTATTGGAATTCAAGCTGCCGTACAGCTGCTCAGGAAATAGAGGAAATTGTATAAATGGAGCATAGTGTAAGTGCAAGTTAGCATCTGACAGCTGACCGAGCAAGGGCTTTTGAATTAGAGGATTTACTAGTTGAGTAGAAGCTGAGGAAAATTTTGATAGGACTCGATTAGTTTTAAAGGAAGTAGAGCCCATATTGTTAAACAAGTAATCATTCGTCTTTATTTTCTAGATGCGATATTGACTCGCTCTCAACTCCATCTGCCTCGAGTTGTTCTTTAGAATGTGATTCGGAGAGGAGACGGCATGTTGAGATTACATCAAGGTTCTGTGTTTTGTAAAGTTCGCTTGGGAGAACACATCTTGGTGCCTATTCTTATTAGATAACGATTTTTTTGACTGTTGTTTACATTTAGTGATGTTTGACTGTGCTTGCTTATCTTTTTTGTTACGGAGCGTGGAAGCGTTTTCGTTTGTAATCTAGGAACGTTTTGGTGTTAGAGTAGGGCTGTTATTTGTTTCGGAATTGGTGGCGGCCATGGTGGTCGCTTTCCTATGTGCAGTTTTTTTCTTTTTTTTTCATGGATTAATTTGCCTTTTTATTTAATTCTATAAGAGTTGTCAGAGGTGAGTTTGGACAGTTTGCACTATTACATTGTTAAGAAGTTGTTAAATGTAGCGGGTTTTGTTACCGTTTAGAGAAATTTTTTTTTTTCTTGATGGGATTTTCGTAGCATAATGTCATGTGTTGCTTGCAAGAAAACCGGTGTGATGAAAAGTGCATCTGTTTGTGTTAATTAGCTTTGTTTAGGGACCAGAGATTGCATCAGTCGTCTGGAATGAAAGAAAAATTGGAAAAGGCAAAAACACAGAAACCTGTAGAAGTTGTTACAAACTTTTTTACGGTAGAAGCTGATGACACCGTTGTGTACAGATATGATGTATGCATAACTGCTTCAAAGGCAGGGACGCAGAAAAAAACTATTGACCTTTGCCGTGGTACAGAGTATGTTTTTAGACGAGATAAATTATGCAAGAAAAATAAAGTTAAACGAGTTTTGCTCACCTTCGTTTTTTGGGCTGGTTGGTCATTTCGCTGGCTATTTTATTGACTTTTGGACTGTGTCGTGACAAAAAACGGCTACTGGTGTTTGTTGCTGTTTTTATTGGTGGTGGTTGTGGATAGTTTTCTCTTTTAAATTTTTTTAGAGCTTTGGTTTTTGGGAAAGTCACTTTTTTTTTGAAGAGGAGAGAAGTAACTTTTTTTTTGGTGGGGTAGGGGGGGGGAAAGGAGGAGTGAATTTTCCGAAAGTTTTTTTCAGTACGGTAGCCCAGTATTTGCTTTCAAAGGAAGACTTGAGTTGCCGTTGTTTCTGGAGAGAGGGAGAGAGTTGGCAATCCCATGCTAAAAGTCAGTACTCTAGTTTTCTCTTTCCTACCTTGATTTGTTTTTCAGTCCTGAAAGGCAGAGGAAATGTGTAGAACTGTTGAAATTTGCTCTGGAGAGGTACCGTCAGTCACGGGAGGTGTCTATTGTGTATGATGGCTCGCATATTTTGTACACTACAAAGGCGCTGGATTTGAAACAGGTGTCTTTTTCTTGTAGCTAAAGAGTGGTGCTTATCAGTGGGTTTCTTGTATGTCATTTATTTACGATCAGAAGTTTTCATATTTGTTTGGCTCAGAAGTCGATTAATGAAAATTATTACAACTTAGCGTGTGGTTTTCTTCTTGTATTGCAATGAGGATGTTGACAAGTGTTTTTAGACGTTTTATACAGTTTGTACTAAACTTCACATATTACCACAGGATGTATCATGATTTAGGTGGGCGTGATTAACTTCGATTCTTACAAGCTTCCAACATACTTAAAAAAGCTCCTCGGTGAAAACGTTGTTGTTCGCATAGAAATTTCTGAATGTAGAGAAAGTGCACATCAGTTTCGTTTAAATGAATATTCTTCTGCAGTTTCTTCCGAAACTTCCCAACAGGATCATTCATTACGTCAGTTCTATGAAATACTGACCAGTCAGAACGCAATTATGAAGTATGTTGAGGGTTTGAAATTTTACCTTGTCTTTAGTTCGTTTCATAGTTTCATATGTTCCTTCTCTCTGCAGTGACGGCTACATAGTTTGTGGCGCGGGGAAGTTGTTCCCGAAGAAGAAAGAAAACATTGATCGGTTGAGTGATGGTAAAATGATTATGTCGGGTGTAGAAAAAGGTTTTCGTCTAATCAGTGGTCCAAATGGAGTAATCCCTGCTGTTGTTGTGGATAGTTAGTAGCTCTTTGAATTATGTTATTGTTAGAAAGTGTTGGTTTCATATTTGTGTAATACTCAAGTGGATTGTTCTTGTCAGACCCTTATCAACCGTTGTTTGCAGCCAAGAAAGCTGCTTTCTACGTTGAACAGCCGCTGTTACAACTCGTGAAGGAGCTATGGAAGAAACCTTTGACGGAGGTTAACCAAAAGTCGTTTGAAGCGTTCGTTGCATGTGTTCAGCCTTCTGTTAGCAGTGAGTTCGTTCCGTGTGCCTCAACGTCATTATACGTATATTATTAAAATTGTTGCAAAAAACACTCGGCAGGTAAGGTTCTTTTTCGAAAAAGCAGAAGAAAAATTGGAAATTTAGGTCTAAAGTACAGAGCATGTTGGAGGTCAAAGGAGCAGTTTTGTATAGGGAAAATTAAAAATTTTAGGAGTTTTTGGAAGAGGGGACAAGCGTTTATGTGGTGGTAGGAGAATTTAGAGTTTAAGGTTCAAAATCATTGGGATTTTCAGTGTATATTGTATCTATTGTTTCTTTCAAGCAGGCATTTTCTTATTTTTCAGACTTACGGCTGCGTAACGACGGAAACAGAGGGATTTTTGTGGCTACCTGTCTTTCCAATGATCCTGTGAAAAAAATTGTGTAATGTTTTTGTTACTTCATTCCTTTTTTTTTTTTCAAGTATCACGTGGCTGAAGTGAAATGTTATTTTTGTGCGCGTTATAGAGATGGTGCTGATAACCCTCAAATTCTGAACAGCTGTAAATAAATTCAAAATAATTGTTTTTGTTTTTAAAAAATTATTCACTGCATGAAAAGGAAAGCACTTTTTCTTTAGGCTTTATTGAAATAATCGTGCATAGACTCGCTTGTTCGTTTTTAAGGAAAGGTCTTAATTAAGTACATCGTTAATTAGTTGTTTTGTAGCAGTCGGCTTTAATTTTCAAATCTTAACTGCCATTTGACTTGGTAGCGTTTACCAGCAATTGTTTTTTGATTCAATATCTATTTTCTACACACATTGCTTTTCATGTGTTAGAAACAACATTGGACGAAAGCGAAAGCTCTCGGTGTTGGAAATGTATCAGCAGCTGGGGAAAGAAATCTGGTATTTTTTTTCGAGGCTTTGTAATAATTCGGTATGTGCACTGAAAAGATTCTTTAAAGCCCAAATCTTCCGGCAGTTGTGCTGAGGGGCCCAAATGGTCCAGTGTATTTTCCAATGGAAGTCTTATCTGTTGTTGGAGGTCAAAGGGTTCCTCTTTCTAAACAGTCTTCTACGCTGACTAGGTCAATGATAAAGGTGATTTTTCTGTGGTTCTTTTTTATCTTTTATCCATCCTTTTTTTCGGTTTTTTGGACTTTGAAGTTTTAATTATTTTTACAGTGTACAGCTGTCAAGCCTGCTGCTAGGTTCGCAGAGATAGAAAGGAACATGGAGGCTTTGGATTTATGTGGCCCTACCTCACGAAATAAAATCTTAGAAGCATTTGGAGTACGAATTAGCCCTAAACCGTTAAAGGTTATTTGTTGCAACTTATTCTTTTTTTCCCTAGCTTTCCTTATGGACGATATATTTCGTAAATTTAGTTAACAGCGAATCGGCGTGCTCTCCCTTCAGTCAGGTTTGGCGATTCCAAAGTCGTGGGTGTCATTAGTGACAAAGTAAGCACTACAGTGCTCGCACTGCTTTTAAATCCTACTGATTTGCGAATGATTATTTAGATATCTTCATTCCTTTTCTACTACAGAATACATGGGTTCAAACTCCTAGTGAAAGCTCTCTGTTCGTTATTTAGGCTTCATGGGAATCAAAGACAACAAAATATGAGCTTCCAGCCGCTATCAAAAACTTTCATTTTCTCTACGATAATGTGAAAAACATTGAGGACGTTAAGTACGGATTAATGTGAACGAAATTTGAATTTAAGGAAGAGTGCGCTTACACACTGAAGTAAAACTCCTCCTATCCTTCAGAAATTTCCATGGCGATTTGGTTAAAAAGGCAAAAGCGAAAGGCATGAAGATAGGACGTATCATTACAAAGAACGTACCGTTTTCCGATTTGGAGACGTATATTAAATCGGTTCAAGACAGACCTCACAGCTTCATTATGTATTTGGATGCTCGGGATGATACACATGGTCAATTTTTGCCTTATTACGTTCTTTTTCAGTTTTTGAGATATGTACGTCAACTTCTTATTTATTCTTCATCAAAGTATGGGAACCACAACTCTTCTAACACGTTAAAATTAACGAACAATACAGCAGACTGATAGGTGGTTAAACGAAAGTGCAGAAGTTTTGCACACTATTGGTAATACACTTTACCAAGGGAGCTTCCTATTTGAAGTCAACTCGTAGCTTCTTAGCTCTAAGTATCTTACTGCTTTATCCCATCAAGTGCTTTGGGGAACACTGATTGCGGAATTCGGTGGTGTAGTCGCTTTTCAGGAAAGTAAGAGAATAATTTTGAAAAGTAACCCCCGTAACAGCTTATACTTAGAAATCTGGACAAAGTATCAGCAGAAGAAATGTCTTTGCCTTTTTCTCTCGCGCAAACCAAAAAATGAAGCTGTGGAAATAGCATTGTTTTTAAACATTATTTTGTGGTAAAGGTAAACAGGAAGTTTTGGATTATAACTTGCGTGCTCTACTTAGTGCCAAGAAATTGTTTAAAATGGGTGGACTGTTTGAGGGGATGATGTGAATAGGCCAGGTTGGTATTGGTCTGAGCTGTTTGTGATAGTAGCGACAGGAAGCTCATGCTAGTGATGTTATTTGGGATTATTTGAGGTGAAAAATGAAGCTGGTTTCACTAGGGGTAGAAGATAAGGAATAGAATTTTGTCTGGGCGGTGTCGTAAATTTTAGTCTCGATATTAACTCCTTTTGCAAACAGAGGATCAGCTGTTATACAAATCGATGGAAGTATGTTTAAGTTCTATCAGTTTGTCCCCGTAAGCTCTACTGGTGTAAAGTTTGAAATCGTTTTTAGATAATTTGAAACTGTATGAGGTGCTCTATCAGGTAGTAACACAGCATGTTCGCTTAACTACGGTCAGTGAAGCAAAAAGCAAACCACTTACAATGGAGAACATTCTGAATAAAATGAACTGCAAGAATTATGGATTGTGCTATCGCGTAATCCCCGAATCTTTCGCGTCAGTGCTTTACACATCGGGTTTAGTAGTATAAACTGCATAATTTAACTTGAAACATATCGGGTATTTGGAAATTTTATTGGTTTCTGTGGCCCATTTCTATTCTTAAAACTTTCTTTTAGTGCCAAAAAATGGATTGGTACAGGTGAGACCTTGGTTATCGGTTATGACGTTTGTCACCCCGACCCGCAGTCAGCTTACGAGAGAAGGTTGGGATTACCCCCGAGACAACCAAGCGTTATTGGGGTATGGAAGTTGTACTCTTCCGTTTAGGCCGCTTAATCGGCTAGTGGTATGAGATGTAATGATTGGTTTCACGGTTGGTGTTATGACTTCCTGGACTCTGGCTTCTCATCATTTAGATCTTTCTTGCAGATATCTTTCAACGGTGCGAAATCTCCTGAAGCTTTCATTGGTGACTACGCATATCATGAACCACGAAAAGAGCAAGTGACAGGATATATCTTAGATGATAGATCCAGGTGGATCTTAAACATGTTCTTCAAGAACCGTGGGCACCTTCCAAAATACATTATAGTAACTAGGGACGGGGTATCAGAAGGTCAGA